CAGCGTTTCGTAGCCCCATAGGGAGCTCCACCGAAGGCCCCAGTGGCAGGGTTCGCATGGCGGCCTCGGGCCATTTCGGCACACCCCTCACGAGGATCGTGGCCCCATAGGGAGCTCCACTGAAGGCTCCAGTGGCAGGGTTCGCATGGCGGCCTGGGCCATTTCGGCACACCCCTCACGAGGATCGTGGCCCCATAGGGAGCTCCACTGAAGGCGCCAGTGGCAGGGTTCGCATGGCGGCCTCGGGCCATTTCGGCACACCCCTCACGACGATCGTAGACTCATAAGGGAGCTCCACCGAAGGCGCCAGTGGCAGGGTTCGCATGGCGGCCTCGGGCCATTTCGGCACACCCCTCACGAGGATCGTGGCCCCATAGGGAGCTCCACCGAAGGCGCCAGTGGCAGGGTTCGCATGGCGGCCTCGGGCCATTTCGGCACACCCCTCACATCGTGGCCCATAGGGAGCTCCACCGAAGGCGCCAGTGGCAGGGTTCGCATGGCGGCCTCGGGCCATTTCGGCACACCCCTCACGAGGATCGTGGCCCCATAGGGAGCTCCACCGAAGGCGCCAGTGGCAGGGTTCGCATGGCGGCCTCGGGCCATTTCGGCACACCCCTCACGAGGATCGTGGCCCCATAGGGAGCTCCACCGAAGGCCCAGTGGCAGGGTTCGCATGGCGGCCTCGGGCCATTTCGGCACACCCCTCACGAGGATCGTGGCCCCATAGGGAGCTCCACCGACTGCCCCCAGTGGCAGGGTTCGCATGGCGGCCTCGGGCCATTTCGGCACACCCCTCTCGAGGATCGTGGCCCCATAGGGAGCTCCACCGAAGGCCCCCAGTGGCAGGGTTCGCATGGCGGCCTCGGGCCATTTCGGCACACCCCTCACGAGGATCGTGGCCCCATAGGGAGCTCCACTGAAGGCGCCAGTGGCAGGGGTCGCATGGCGGCCTCGGGCCATTTCGGCACACCCCTCACGGGGACCGCGGCCCCATAGGGAGCTCCACTGAAGGCGCCAGTGGCAGGGTTCGCATGGCGGCCCGGGGCCATTTCGGCACACCCCTCACGAGGATCGTGGCCCCATAGTTGTGCTGCTTCAACAACCGCGCCTGGGCGTCGTACTCCGCCTTGTCGACGGGCTACGCCACCTCCTCCCTCATGGCTCTCAAGGCCCTTTCCTGCTTCTGCTCCTCGGTGAGAGGGACGCCGTCCTTGTCGTCGTCGGCGCCCGCGAAGACGGCCACGAGCGTGTCCCTGATCATGTCGGGCTCCGGCGGGAAGCCGTGGCCACATAGGGAGCGCGGGCGAAGATGGTATTCACAATTGCGGTATTCACAATTGCATATGGTTGGGTCCTTCGCCAGGATAATTTCGCCCTACAGGTTTTTGGGCCAGGAGGCAATGGATGACGATGACAAGGCGGATAAGCAGGCGGAGGAGGAAGAGGAGGAGGAAGAGGAGGAGGAGGAGAAAGAGGGTGAGGGCGACCAGAGTAAACGCAACATTTATCGACGATGCTGCATTGACCCTCCAGTCCTCGTTCCCTTCCGCATGAACCCCTACAACTTACACGCATTAAAGGGCGAACGCCCCGTGGTTCGCAATTCAGGCAGGGGCGCCGTTTTGAAAGGAAGTGCCCCCATCCATCAAGTTGGACGGACTGTGACAAGGTGGGCCACCGAGTTCAAGGAAATGCCCTGCGACAACCTCGGTTTGGAGAGAGCCGCCCTCCACCCGTGAAGCGGTTGCAAGAGTTAGGCACACAATATCGCATATTTTTTAGTCTCATGCGAAAACTCCATGTTGAAAAGGATCAGCCTTCCATTTACGAGACCGCTGTATTTTTGTTGTTTGAATGCCTGTTGATGCTGAACCGAAGACTCATCATGCGGGTGCACTGTTTTGAACATGCATGCAATTGTCATACGTGTCGCTGGTGCATGGTTTTAACACGGGCGTCAGCGACAATGCTCAAATTCCATCCTGAAGGCTTGCATTCCTGTAGCCATTCGTTTGTTAAGACGAGTGCGCGCGGGACCAAGGCGAGAGCCCACTTTCGAAAACGATTCGCTCTCCCAGGCCGTCAACGGCGAGTGCGCGTTAGGACAACGCTTGGCCCGCCCAGGCGACATGTCTGGTGGTGCGATAGGATGGTGTCAATTATAGCGAAGAGGAGCTGGGGAGCAGGAGGGGGAGGACGTGTGCGCTTAATTTCGTACTTCTCAGGAGCATGTTTTTTCATCCCCTGCCCCTTCACCCACTGATTCCTTCTTCTCCTCCACCACCCCCCTTTTAAAGCACTTTGGGTGCATTTTCGACTCTTCGTTGGGCCTGCTGGTTGCTTCTCCCTTGTGGCTGCCTCGTGGGACCTTCTTGGGGGTCTCTGGCCCACCTGATCCGAGATGGGGCGGTGTGCGCCCGTCGCCGGCGCGTTTCCGCCGCAGTCGAAACTTCTGCCTTGTAGTGGCGAGCTCACCTGCTAGGCCTTGTGAAGCAAGACAAGTTGCCTTTCTAGACTGGGTGACATTATGTTTGGCTGCTTTGTTTGAGAAGCAAGGGCCATTGCAGTGGCTTGCTCACCTACTGGGCTTTGTGTAGCGATGCAATGTACGTTGAGACACAGTAGCAACACAATGCAAGCCCGGACCCAGCAGCGACACAGCGCACCAGCTGGGTTCGAGGGGTTTCGGCTGGTGTACTGAGATTGTTAGGATCGATCTGGCTTGGTTCGCCAGGTTTTCGGTCAATGGGCCCCAGTCGCAGCCTCGGAGCCGCCTCGTGCGCTGGCGGTTTTGATGGAGCATCAGTGTTGAGGATGCGCGATACGAGCGAGCGGAGCCGAAGGGGCCAAGAAAACTACGTCTCTTAGACTCGCCGTGATCAGGATGGAGATAAAGATGAAAATGAAGATGAAGGTGAACATGAAGATGAAGATACATAGTATGCTGATGATGATGCTGATACTGATGATGATGCTGATGACGATGATGATGATGGTGATGATGATGATGATGATGATGATGATGATGATGATGATGATGATGATGATGATGATGATAATGGGGCGATGCTGATGACATTGATGAGAACACGTACGATGACGAGCAAGGAAGCCGACAGGAATATGGGAACCTTTACCCTTACCTTCTGCTCGGAAGGTGTTGGTATTAATGCTGACGACTGTAATGCTGACGATGGCGATGATGAGGACGCGTGCGATGACGAAGAAAGAGACCACAAGGGCATAGAAGCTTGCACCCCTGATCGTCTCCGTGATGATGCCGATGACGACGATGATGATGACGATGATGGCGGAATAGTGTAATGGCAGTGAAGGCAACCGAGGAAGCATAGACACCTATGCTTCTCACCACCGTCCTGATGATGATGAGGATGATGAAGATGATGACGGTATTGTTGTTGACGATGGTGATATGGTGATGGTGATTATGAAGACGAGTATGATGACGAACTCAGAAGCTATACGGGACACATATTTACGGCCCTCATCTTCGATGTGATGATGTTGCCAGCCCCCGCTGCCGCTCCTTCATGTCATTGTTCGTCGCCTTCTTCCTCGTCATCGTCCTCATCGTCGCTTCCGACGTCGGTATCGCCGCCGTCGGCCCCGACCCGCCGCTCGGGGAGGAGGGCCGACCGCCCGCTAGGGTCCTGCTTGCCTGAACGCCCGCTCGCCCGCTCTCGTGTCCCGCCCGTGCGGCCCACTTGTAAGGGCCCGTCCGCCCGACCCCTCCCGGTGGGGGTCCGCCCGCCCGACCCCGTCGTTAGGATCCGGGTGTTCGGATTTGGGTTGTTAGGGTTTGATCATGGTGTTGAAGTCGAGGCGTCCGGGTGGTAGGGTACGGGTGTTCAGATTTCAAGGTGTCGGTATTGGTGCTTAGTGCTTGGGTTTGGGGGGTTAGGGTGCAGTGCTTAGGATCAGGGTTAGGGTGTTAAGGTTCGGGGTGTTAGGGTCAAGCTGTTAGGGTTGGGGTCAGTGCTCAGGATAAGGGTGATGGTGTGAAGGCAAGGGTGCCAGTGTTTTGGTTTGAGGTTCAGGTTTTCGTCTAGGGTTTGTGCTTCTGGTCAGGGTCTCTGGGCCAGAGTTGGGGTGTTAGAGTCAGGTGTAGTGCTCAGGGGTAGGGTCCGGTTTTTTGGATTCAGTATATCAGGGTTCAGTGTGTCAGTGTGTTAGGGAGCCAGCCCTCCCGCTTCAATGTCCCACCCGCCCTACCCTCCCGTTATGGTGATTGTCCGCCCGCCCAGCCCGCCCGATAGAGTCCGTCCGTACGATCCGCCCGTTAGGGTCCGACCGTCTGACCCGCCCGTGAGGGTCCGCCCGTTCGCTTGTTTGGAAGCCCGCCAGCCCGTTTGACATCCCGCCCGCCCGACCCACCCGTTAGGGTCCACCCGCCCGCCAGAACCGCCCGTTGGGTTCCGCCCGCCCGACCCGTCTGTTCTGGTCAATCTGGCCCGCCCGTCTTTCCTTGTTGGGCTTATCCACATACGTTCATAGGCATTGAATGCGGGTACGGGGGGGTGAAGGGGCAAATACGTCACGTCAGCTTGCTAGGTAGCAGGTAATGAACACTTTGATTGCTCTTGCTGCTGTTACTGCTGTAAGCATCTGCATTATTGGAGTAGTTGTGTTGATATTGGCGTGGCTATTGGCTCTTAATGTTGTGATTGGGTGCTGTCTATCATGCTGCTGCTGCTATAGTTTGTGGTGTTTCTCTTGGTATCGCGTTTCAGCTTTCGGCTGCCCTTCGTTTTGCCACTGATATCGCTTTCGCGGATGCTAAATACCATCTCGTCTCTGTCTGAGTAATTTCCATGTGTCTTTCCGTTATGTGATTGTCTGTCTTGTCGTGATCGTTTTGCTTCATGCCCGTCTCAGCGGCTTTGTTTCATTGCTCTGCCCTTAGACCAGTCAACATGTGCACGCGGAGCCTTTTTCGGATCTTGCTAGGGGGCCGCCGCGACCTTGTCGGCCAGGGCAGCATGGCGGGCGGCGAGGCTGAGGAACAAGGGAGGGGTGGAGCACCAGCAAAGGGGTAGAGAGCGACGGAGGAAGGCAGGGAGGGCAGGAGGGAGGGAGTGAGGGAGGGAAGGAGAGAGGGCTGGCTGGACGGATGGAGTCATGGATGCAGGGAGAGAGGGAACGAGTACAGCAAGCAGGGATGCAGAAGGGAGACGAGAGGGAGGGGATGTGGATGTGAAGTTGAAGGCTGGAGGGGGGCAGCAAAAAGACGCAACGGTGTTTCACAGTGCGCCGATGAATCTGCAGAGCCCGTGGCACCTTACCACAATGGCGAGTCGAGTGTGCTCCTGTTCTGCTCGGACTTGTCACTCGGCACGCACGCAACGGACTTCACGGTATGATTGTGCCTCCCCTCGCGTCCTTTCCGGCCCTCTCCCCCCGCGTTCCTCGCAGTGCCTAGCTGTGTACCAGCGCGTCCCGCGGCCGCTTTAGCCCCGTTTGGAGCCCTCACGGCCGCCATCCAACAAAGTGCTTCCGTTTTCCTGGCACGTGGTGTGTGTGTGTGTGTGTACATCTAGGGGCTCCCACGATTGCCTGGTGCGTTGCCTGCTGCTCATCCGTTTGCGTGCACCATGGCTGGACTATGCGGTCGCCGTGGAAGCTAACATCGCAGCCTGCCTTTCTGCCTTCCGTGTCTGGAAGCTTTCCAGCAGCCCGCCTCCAAGCAGTGCTGGCATGCAGTCACAACGCAGAGTGCTTTCTCACAGTACTTAACACACCATACGAAAATTATAGCGTAGACCACATGCCACTTTTCCGTACTGTTGAGCTCGCAGTGCCAACCTGCACACACACACACACATTGCTAGCACGTGGTGCTCTTGTGTGACCTTCCTCAGGCACCCTTGCTTATTTCCTTCTCGCAGCTTGGGGCAATATTTTCGTTTTCCAGTGGTGTGTTGTCTATGGTGCTACCGATGCTGATGCAAACTCAGCGGTACAAGCGATGGGGTACAATCTGTGTGGCGCAATCCACGGTGCAATCAATCGGAATCACTCTGTGGCGCGTGCCGTCTTTGTGATTCAGTTTATATGGTGCAAGATTGTAGGGCAGTGTGAAGGTGCGAACTATGTGTTGCATACTATGCGAAGGCCTTACGGCCAGTGCCGCCGACCCTGAATGGCGACGACGATGATGACGACGACGACTACGACGACGAGCGCTCTCGAGTGCTTCTTGGGGGTAGTTTCGGGGCCTCTTGGAAGGCTCCTGGGGCCTCTTGAGAGCCTCGTGGGGGCCTTCTGGGGTTTCCTGGGGGTCTCTTGGGGGACTCTTGGGGCCTCTTGGGGGGCTTCTTCGGGGACTCTGGGGGCCTCCTTGGAGCTTCTCAGACCGAGGGCTCGAAATGATCGTTCGGGTCTCTCGTCTGGGCTTTCTCTTGGAGTCGTCTTGGGGGCCTCTTTGGCTGTCTTGAAGACCTCTTGGATGCCTTTTGGACCATCTTGAGGCGGTCTTGGGGGCGTGTTGGAGCGTCGGGAAGCTGACAAGGCGAGAATGCCGACATCTTTCAAGCACCAAAGGGAACTCTATGATTTTTGCCCCTTGGTGCCCTCTGGGAAGTCCTCTTGCAGGCCTCTTGGGGCGTCTTGGAAACCTTTTGAGCCGTCTGGAGGCTACTTTCGCGGCTGGGAGCGATACTTCGGCGATTCGGGGCCCTCAAGCACCGTCTTGGGGGCATCTTGGGACACTTTTGCGTTCTTGGAGCTTTTCTGGGCCCCTGAACGGCCCCCTCCGGGGGGAGTCGTATCTGGGTGGCGACCCCTCCAGGGGGAGTCGTATCTGGGTGGCGACCCCCGGCAGGGAAGGGATCAAAGGGAAGGGGCTTCCCTTTGACTCAACTACAACGGGCCTAGGGAAAGGAGAGGGGAGCGGTGAAGGCGACAACGACGACGACGACGACAACGACCACGACGACGACGAATTAAACGGAACAGCCTCTTCCACGCGCCGAAAGGGTCGGCGGATTTGGCAATATTGTTGAAGAGTGTCAAGGTGCGAACTATGCGTTGCATACTAGTTGATGCGGCCTATGCGATGCATTCTACGTTGTGCAATGTTTTTGTTGCAATGTGTATGGTGCAGCTAACGTTGTGCAGCCTATGCCAACAGATCTGTGGCGCAGTCTATGTGTTAATGTGGTGCGATCTATGTGCCCTTTCGGAAACGACAGCCAGCGCACCAAGGCGGCCACGAGGCGCCCTCGGGTGCTCAGTGCCCGAAAGCCGGGAAGACCCAGCCAAGGCACGCAACGGGCACGTGGCGCCGTAGGGCGTTCACGTGCCGAAGCCTGGAAGACCCACCCCACCTCCCTCCGCCCCGCGCTGCCAGCCCTGCTCCCCGCTCGAGCTCCTGACCGCGCCTGCGCCCAGCGAGATACGGGAGCCCGCTTCCCGTGCGACGGGATACTTTCGATCGGCCCGACAACGGCCCCTCTTTTTGCAAGACATCTGCCAGCAGCAGGCTCATGCACCATCCCGGACGTCGACGTATGATCTATAAACCTGGAAGACCCAACCAAGTACGGACGACATGAGCACGAGCCTCTCCTTTGAGTTGTAGTCGTGTTCTGGGAGTGGGTGGGTGCTGTTCGATTTTCCGCTACATGGGCCTTCGTTTGCAATCCATCGTGTAAACATTCTCCCCGCGTGGCTCACACACCTCCTTTCCGCGCTGTCGGTGGCCATTTCTCGTCCTCGAGATCTTGTCACCCTCGTGTCAGGTCGTGTTCTTGTAAATGGATACGCCCTACTCGAATTGTGCACTGTGCGCTGTGCCCCTTTCTCCTTGCACTTTGTTTCCTCATGGGCCATCGGGGTGTCGATGAGGTGGTCGGATTTCAGCAGGGTAAGCACCCAAGTTGTGGACGTTCTGCGGCATTGGCCTGCGGCTTTCGGCCGCCAGTGGCATCGGACAGGTGCCTGCAGCAGACAGGAGCACGGTCCGCTCGACGGATCGACTAGACGTAAGAGTGACTTTTCGCCGGAGTGACCTTTGGTGCGGGCCCAATGGGGTCCCCCGATCGCCGAACGCGAGGTGGCAGTAGCGTCTTGCGCGCTTGTGTTCGGCCCCCCGCGGACCCCAAAAAACCGCGCACCAAAGGTCACTCTTGCCCAGGGTCACTCTTGCGTGTAGTCGAACGGAGTTTGCGAGAAAGGAATCGGTCACTCGTGCGCTTTGGATTTTGTGGAGGCAACCTGTGGAGTGCGGATGCCAACTTGCGGTGCCCTCTTCTGGCTTCGGAGAATTGTTTCGTTTACAAGACTTGTTTTCGTGTGTGCGACACCGTGCGCGACAACGTCTGCCCTGGGGCGATTGGAAAGCTGGTTGGCACAGCCACGGCACGAGGGTAATGGAGGTGGAAAAAGGACCCCAATACGGGCAAGCGGCGAGCTACCAGCCATGCCGAGGAAAAACTCGAGAATGTGCCGACCATCAAGGCCTACAAGGCAGCGTGGTGCTGGCCACTGCTGTTTGCCCTCTTCCTCCTGCTTGCCCCCGTCTCCCAAGAATGTTGCAGGAGTGTTGACGGGAGGCCCCCATTGCACGTGCCAGTCGGGTCGCCATCCTTCCCCATCCCCCTTTTCTTCGAAGCTCGTCGCACAGGGAGGAATGGGGAGGGATGGAGGAAGGAGGGAAGGATGGGGAGGAGGAGGAGGAGGAGGAGGAGGAGGAGGAGGAATATGATGATGAGGAGGAGGAATCATAATAATAATATGATTAGAAACAACGATATGATGATGATGGTGATGATGATGAGGATGATGACGATGATGATGATGATGCTGATGATGATGATGAGAAGGAGGGTGAGAATAACATACACTTGATTAAGAAGGAGGAGAGGACGGAGAAGTGATGAGTGAGGGGAAACATGAGAACATGACAGGTTCAGGAGAGGAAATTTGGAAAGGCAGGATCTATTCCAGAGCAGTGAGCGCACATGGTAGTTCCCAGTTGAGATGGCAGGCTCTGCCAAGGGACTACGTGCAGACGCGCGCAATATACTAGCGGGCCGAAGGGGATGCCGAAGTGTTGTCAGTGCTGCGAGAGTTGCACACAAGACGGTGCAGGCGTGGAGAGCGCAATCGAACTGAACACTCGGCCTTCAAGATGGCCGAGGGTGAGTTCTTTTGACACTAATCTTCACCAGTCGTGCCTCGCCAAGAGCTGCATGACGAGGACCTAGTTCCGCAGAGTGGCCCTGTGAGGAGCGGGGTGGGGTAGAGGAGCCATCTCCACAAGGGGGGCCAGGACCGTGCTGCCTAAATCAAACCGACAGCAATACGTTGCGTGTTTGTTGAACGACGGCAACCGCATCATTCGAGAGACACGCACCGGCGTATGACAAGAAGAGGTAGGGGAGAGTCGAAGCGCTGCGGCTGTCGTGAGAGGACGCCGTCGGCCATGGGTCGCATGAGCTTTGAAGCGTGTGTCGGGGTGTCAGGGGACACGCGGCTTGGCGCTTTGCAGTGCTCTCACTGCCCTCCCGCAGAATCCAGACTTCCTCGCGTCCCACGCTGCGCGGAAGATCCGGATCATGTGCGAGCTTCAGGATTGTTGATCTCGCTTTAACGATCTTTCTTTGTCTGTTTTCTGTCTTCGTCTCTCGTCCATTGACTTTGGGTCGTGTTTTCTGCGCATCGGCCTTCCGTAACCCCAGCATAATAAGCCGCTCCTTCTCTCACTAGTCCTGCTTCCTCCTTACTCCCGCCTCCCTCCTTCCGCGTTCCTCCTCCCCTCCCTGCTCCTCGTCCTCTTTTCACTGTCTCTCCATCCCTCGTCCTTTCAATGAATACCTCCGCGCCACACCACTAGATTTGTCGTCAGGGCGGTCGGGGCGTTTTACTTGATAGCTTCTCACGAGATGATCCTGAAAGCTGAAATGCCTTGAAGCAGCTACACGGATGGATGTAAGTTCGCTTTCAAAGTGTGGCTGTTGTCATGGCGCCCCGCGCATGCGGTTTAGAAGCTCGCAGCAGCTACATGGATGGATAGCGGTGCCATTACCAAATGGGTTTATCGCGGTAAGCTTCCCGGCTACATGGTTAACTCTGCCGCGTAGTTTCGCGGTTTCAAAGTGGTTCTCTCGTCGAGGACTTCTCCAGCCTGTATGGTTCGACGCTTCAAATTGCGCAACAGCTGCATGAAAAGAGGGCGGGGCGTTTTTTCAAAAGGGGCGCTCGCTGGAACCTCCTTGATCCCTGTGAATGTAGCTTCTTGCAGTTTCACACGCCTATGAGGAGGGAGGGCTCATCTTTTTCAAATCGGGGCGCTCGTTGGAATGTCAGGCCTATGGGGCGCTCGTTTTTGAGGGCGATGTCTATCAGAACGAAGCACATGTTTGTAGAGACTTTGTTAGGAAGGGACGTGGGACGGGAGGGTATATTACAGCATTTTGGATAGATTTACCTAACTCCTCTCCCCTCCCGCGTCCCATCTTCTGTCCTCTCCCTCCCGCTGCCTCCCTTCTCCCTCCTCCCCCTCCTCCCTGCGCTCCTCTATCCTGCCTCCCGCATCCTCCGTCCTCGCTCTCTCTCCCTCCTGCCCAATTTCCTCTCCGCCCCTCCCGCCTTCTGTCTTCAGTCTCCTCCTATGTACGCCTCCCCACGCACGTCTGCACATAGCGGGTGGGTGGGTGGACCAACCTCAAGTCATGCAGTATCGCACCCACCTTACTTTATGGTATTGGAAGTCGTGCGGATACTTTACGTCCTCTGTGCTGCACGACCTTGGCGAGGGCTGCGCTCTTCGTATGACTCCCAGTCGAGCGGAATATCTCGGCAGGATCGCTCGTGGTTTGTGGCTCAAAGTATTGAGTGAAGCAGAAGCGCAGAGCCGTGGTAGTGTATAGTCGTGCCTCCACGTGTAGTTCGTTTCGTAGTGCTGGCAGTCATCGATTCTGTCTTGTGATCATCGGCGTTCTTATGCTCATACTCATCCGTACTCCCTCCTGCATCCTGCGTTCCCCCTCCTGCCTCCCGCCTCCCTTCTTCTGCCTCCCTTCTCCTGCTTTGCTTCTTTTGCCCACCTCCCCTTGCAGGAGGGGATGAGTGGAAATGGAAGGCGCTGGAGGGGAGGAGATGGGGATGGGGGAGGGATAAGGCATACGGGAAGGGATGATTGAGGAGTGGTGGAGAGGCGGAAGGGGGGATTGGGATGAGCAGGGGGGATGGCGAAGAGAGGTCGCATGGCATGGGATCGGAGGGGAGAGGGGGAGCTGGGATACACGGCAGGAGCCTGAGCAAAGGCTGGCGGAGGCGCAGATAGACAACTACTTCCTCTTCCTTGGTGCTCTTGGGTGGTGGAGGGCTCCGCCATGTTCTCCTCTCACCTCTACCTCTCCGCCTTCCTCCTCCTTCCATCACCCCTCTCCCCTGAGTCTCCCTCTTTCCCCTCTCTGCCCTCTCTCCCCTCCTCTCCCCTCTACCTATTGCTCCTCACCTCCCTCCACCCGCTCCCCCGCCCCCTCCAGCTGCTCACCCCGCGCCTGCTCCCGGTCCCGGCCCCTCTTCTCCTGCCGCCTCTTGCATCCGCCGCTCATGCCGCCGCGGCTTCTGCCGTTGGCGATGCCGCGGGCGCTACTCGTCCTCCTAGTCTGCAGCGAGGCGGTGTGTGTGTGTGTGTGTGTGTGGCCGCGGTGCCTGGCTATGTTGCCAGGTTTTGCGGTGGGTCCCTCGGGAGGATTGGGTGCCTGGGCAACGCTCTCCCCTCTGCGTCACGTGTGATGCGAAAGAGGGGGAGTGCCACTTCTGCCGTGGCCCGCTGCATGTCCGTCCTGAGCCCCCACCCATCTAGAGACCGCTGCATATCCTTCCTGCACGGGGAAGCGAGGCCGATCGAGAATACGGAGGCGACATCGTGCCACGGTCGGGTGCATGAGCTCCCTTCGAGGCCTCGGCTTGGTGTTCTGAGGATGTCAAGCTGCCCACACCCATCCGCTCTGGCTGTGGAATCGGTAGTCGGCGGCTTCCCCGCCCTGACGCCACTATCTTTGTTTGCTCTCCCGCCCCTGCTCCCGCTCTCCTCTTTTGCTTGGGAGCGCCTGTGCGTGTTCTACTTGAGAGCCATTGAGTCCTGTGCTCAACAACTTCGTTGTCAATACCTGTTGCGCACCACCCATGCGGCCTAGCCGCCCTTGCTGCCTAGTTTCTTTTTGCGCCCTGTCCTTGGGACACGTGGCATGTCCCACGCGTCACCAGGTGCGGTCTGCGCCTTTGCCGACATTGCCGCCTTAGGCGGCGTCGCGCCGTCGGCTCGGCCCCGCTGACAGCTCGGCCGCTGTATTGTGCTCAGCTGCCGGGGCTTCGGCTCGGTCTGCTGTCCGACCCTTGTTTTTTATCGTGCCGTGTTGCACGACCGCGCGTCTCCTCGCGTTTTCCTCGCTTTCCGCTTTCTCTCCCGTGTGTCTGCCGTGGCGACGGTGGCGCCTGCGGTCTCGGGTCGCTGATTCTTTTGTGCCCCACACATGCGGATGTGCCGCCGTAGGTGCTTTTCGTTGGCTGCCCTGGGCTAGGTCAGTCAGCGGGAGGCCCACGCGGTTGCCAGGCTGCGCCCAGCAGCTTCTCGCGACTTTGTGCCTTAGGTGGAGTCGCGCTTCCCATTCGGTGCCCCACGCGGCGCCGCTGCCGTCCCCTGACCCCCCAGCCGTGCCGAGAGGCTGCCGTGGATCGGCGACGGCAGCGGGGCCACCTCGCCCCCCCACCGCAGGAGGCCATGGCCCCAGTCCCTTTTGGGGCCCTCTGGCTGGCCGCGCTGCGGCGGGCCTGGGCAAGGGGTCGGTGCCCTGGGTGCGCGGGGATGCTGCACCCGTCGGGGGCTCTCCAGCTGGAGGGCTGCGGTTCTGCTGCTGGTGCGGCACTCTTTGCTGACTGCCTTGGCTGCCTGATGATCCTGGCGGGCGGTCGCAGTGCGTGCGCCGTGGGCGGATACGTCGTGCACCTTGTCGTGTGGCTCGACCGCCCGTTTCCCCGCACTGCTCATTTGGCTCGTCTTCTCTTTTTGACTTCCCACTTCTGATAGTGGCTGCGGTCGTCTGGCTGGTTGGCCAACTCGCCGCGCTCGTTTGCCCTTACAGCGGCACGGTGGATTGATGTTGTTCACCTCTGTCCGTCTTACCAGCGTTGTGATGCGACAGTTTTATGTTTGCGGGCAGGCTGTGTAATCCCTTTACCCACGCACTTTTTGCGGGTGTTGACATAGAGGGCGCGGCTGATGACAGCCTCTTGCTTCGCTGCGGTGGGCGTTGTCACGCGTCGTTGGGTACCCCACCCATTATCGCGGTCGGATGGCGATGCGGATCGTTTGGTCAACACTCTACCAATCTGTTTCACTGGCCCGCTGATTGACCACAGCATCAATATCCTTAGCAGCTTTTGTTTTTTGCGCTTCACTGTCTAACACCGCTCTGGTGATTCAGAGGCCATAATTATCCTCGGGCTGTCGCACCTCAGTTCGCTTTGAGTTGAGTAGTCTCCTCGTCTTCTGGCCGCTGCATGTGCTTTTGCATGCATGCAGCCCACCCGTCGCTTGCATGTTGCAGTGTGCGATACTTGTACGCTGCGCTATTACAATGATCGGTCGAAATTAACACTTCCATCTGTTGCTCGCGCATGAGGACCCTCTGCACCGCTGAGTTAAAAGTGCGTGTGGCCGCGGTGCTGCTTGTTCCTAGCGGCTTCGGCCTTTCGACGCGTGCGCGCGCGCCCACTTCTCTGACCTTGCTACGCCCTGTCGTTGCGCACGGGGCCGCGACGCCCAAAACAGCGTGTGTGTGTGCCTTCGCTGGGTCGGCCCGCGCGCTCCCGCCCGACTTGACCTACGCCGCGCCGCCGCGCGCGTGACCGTGACGCCAAAACACTTCAGTGGGCTACGGGCTGCGATGATCGAGCGAGTTCTCTTCCGCACCGTTCGGGTGGCACCGTTCACTCTGACTGCATGGCTTTTGGCACCTTCCATGTGCAACGCTTCGGCCGCGCTTTTCTGCATGTCTCAGCCGCGCCCCGGCCCCTTTATTTGTAACGCCAGGTGGTACTTGAGCTAGGCGTGGCCCGACCTAGTACTCGCTGCGGTGGCACGCACGCGCACACATCTGGCCGCCGACCAGAAAGAAACGTGTGTGTGTGTGTGTGTTTGTCGGTGGGAATCATCCGAGCGCAGCCCTCTAAAACCCTTGCTGAGTTGGGCCAACCGACCGCGATGTCTATATATATATATATGTACACATATATACATACATATGTATATATATATATATATATGTCTGTGTGTGCCCTATCCCTCCTTTTCCTCCCCCTGTTATTGCTATCTTGGATTAGGTAATGACTCGACCGCTTCCTTTTGAAGGCAATCCTCATCGTCAGAGCCTCCACTGTACGGATGCTGGGTGGGTTCGAATCCTTGACCCTTTCCCCCACACGCACAGGCGGAAATCAGTGGAAGGAACCCAGGGCGGGGTTGCCAGCGGAAGTTCGCTGGTGTTAGCGCAGATTACGACTATCCACCCCAAGACAGGTCAACGCTGGCGTGCTCCGGGCCGCCAGGCGTGCAGGGATCGGGGTCCAGAGGTGTGAGGCCCACAGTGAGAACGTAAGCCAGCAGTGGGTGCCGATGCACGCTTTCTGCCACCCCCGCTGCCTTGACTAGTGTTGGCAGATCGGGCAGAGTATCGTGCAGCGTGCTGCCCAGATCTGTTTCCCACGCAGACGGATTGGACCCCCCCACGTGGGTCGATTCCAGCTAGGACCCCAGTCTCCGTCCGTGCACCGGGGGGTTCCCGAGGGTACTGGCCGTTTGGAGCTGCTGGCTTATACGCCAGAATAAGGTCTATTTCGCCCGAGGCCTCCGCCTTGAATCCTGGGCTTTCGCGGGCCCGCATGATGGGGTTGCTAGACGGTCCTTGTTCAAATACGATATCCTCCGTGATCGTCCGCGCTGCAAATGTGTGTAGGCTAGGCCATTAGTTCGACACTCGAGAGGCTGCATTTTTGGGTTTGGGGTTCGTGACGAAATCTCGCATTACCTCATCTGCTGGCCCCTCCGGCATCATAACGCTCTCAGCTGGTTGCCGCTCGTCTTCTCTGTGGACCCCCCTCTATGGCTTGGCCCCCGGTGCCCTGCGCAGTGCGGACTGCGTAATGCGATATCCCGCGTATCCAGGGTGTCGAGGTCGCGGCACTTGCATCGGAGGTGAGGGGGTGAGAACGAAGTGGAACGGAGAGCCCCCTTACCGGGAAATCGGTTTCGGTTTCGTGTTCGTGCGTGCCGTGCGTGCGGGCGAGGCGAAGCTGCGTGGGTGGGCGAGAAGAAAGTCTCCTCTGGCTGAGGCGCGGCCAGACCAAATGATTTCTTTCCGGGGGCCGGTGGCCCGCGGTGTCCCGCCGGTGTCCCGCCTCCGGCTGAGGCGCGGCCGGACTAAATAATTCCTCTCCGGTGGCCGGTGGCCCGCGGTGTCCCGCCAGTGTCCCGCCGGTGTCCCGTCAGTGTCCCGATGATGATGATGATGATGATGATGATGATGATGATGATGATGATGATGATGATGATGATGATGATGATGATGATGATGATGATGATGATGATGATGATGATGATGATGATGATTGATGATGATGATGCTCTTGATGTTGATGTTGATGATGATGATGTCGCTTATGTTGATGATGATGATGGTGATGGTGGTGATGATGATGGTGTCCCGACAATGATGATGATGATGATGATGATGATGATGATGGTGATGTTGACGGTTGTGATGATGATGATGATGATGATGATGATGATGATGATGATGGTGTCCCGGTGATGATGTTGATGATGATGTGACTGACGATAATGGTGTCCCGATGATGATGATGATGATGATGATGATGATGATGATGATGATGATGATGATGATCCTGATGATATGATGATGATGAGATGCTGAGATGATGATGAAGATGATGATGATGATGGTGTCCCGATGATGATGATGCTGATGATGATGATGTTGATGATGATGTTGATGAGGATGATGGTGGTGATGATGATTGTGTCCCGATGATGGTGATGTTGATGATGATGATGATGACGATGATGGTGTCCCGATGATGATGATGAGGATGAGGATGAGGTGGTGATGATTTTGATGATGGTGGCCCGATGATGGTGATGATGATGCTGATGTTGATGATCTGGGTGTCCCGATGATGATGGCGGTGATGATGGTGACGATGATGTTGGTGTCCCGATGATGATGATGTTGATGATGATGATGTTGTTGCTGATGATGATGGTGTCCTGATGATGATGTTGATGAGTTGTTCATGATGGTGATGGTGATGATGGTGGTGTTCCGATGATGATGATGGTGATGATGGTGTCCCGATGGTGATGATGTTGATGATGATGATGATGATGATGATGATGGTGACGATGATGGTGTCCCGGTGATGATGATGGTGATGCTGATGATGATGGTGATGATGATGATGGTGTCGCTATGATGATGATGATGATGATGATGATGATGATGATGATGATGATGATGATGATGATGATGATGATGATGTTGATGACGTTGATGTCGATGATGTTGTTGATGATGATGATGACGTTGATTGTGAGATCGATTGTGATATCGATAGTGAGATCGATAGTGAGACCGGATGTGAGATCGATTGTGAGATCGATAGTGAGATTGATAGTGAGATGGGTTGTGAGATCGATAGGCAGATCGATTGAGAGATCGATCGAATGAACTAGATCGAGTGAGATCGATTGTGAGATCGATCGAGTGAGATCGATCGAGCGAGACCGATAGTGAGATCGATAGTGAGATCGATAGTGAGACCGATCGAGTGAGACGTTGGTTCCTCCCCCCCCCCCGAACCTCCTTATCACCCGAAGGGTGGTCGTATAGGTATCACATATTTTGCACATCCAAAGGTTTAGTGCCTGATCACGCATACGCATCTGTCACGCGAGTAGCTGGTGCTGCGGGTTTGGTGCTTCCGACCCTAGTGTGGTCAGCAGTGGCCCGCCCTCAGGCTATGTCGGCTCCCCCCATCTTCGTCCTCCTGCTCCCCTCCTCTCCTTCCTATTCCTCGCGCCTTTCATGCTTTCTCCTCTTTTCTTTTTTTTTAAATATGTTTTTCTCTGGACTTTCTTCCCCCTCGCTCCTTTCCCTTGCCTTTCTCCTTGTTCGCGTCTTCCTTCCCACCTTCATCCGCTACTCCTCCCCTTCCTCTTGCCCGCGTGCTCCCTTCCTTCCTTCCCTTCTCAGCCCGCGTCGTCCCTTTTCCATCTGGACGCGCGAGCCGGCTGGAAATGGGCATGGTGCAGGCTCGCACCAGGTGATGCACCCAGAGGAGGGCTCCCCCGCGCGCCACGGTGACAGGTGGGTGTTTGTGCCAGGCAGCCTAGGAACGGAAGGATGAGGAGAAGAAGGATGATGATGATGATGCTGATGATGATGCTGATGATGATGATGATGATGATGATGGTGAGGATGACGATGATGATGCTGAGGATGATGATGCTGATGCTGAAGCGGATGCTGCTGCTGCTGCTGCTGCTGATGATGATGATGATGATGATGATGATGATGATGATGATGATGATGATGATGATGATGATGGGGATGCTGATGATGCTGATGCTGATGCTGATGATAATGATGGTGATGATGATGCTGATGCTGATGATGATGATGACGATGATGATGTTGATGTTGATGTTGTTGTTGATGATGATGATGATGGCCATGATGTGAGCATAGCGGTTATGATAGTAGAAGGCAGTGACCCGTAGCTTTGTCGGACCGAGCCCGCCCCGCGCTGCGTGCTGGGAGCGCCCGCAGTTGATGCGTGGGGAGCCCGCGGCCAGGGCGCGGGCGGTCCACCATCGGCGAAAAGGCCGCGACAGAGGCGGCGGAGAATCCAGAGCGGGTCCCCTGGGTCGTCATCCAGGACAACACCCAACGCGGGCCGCCCAGGAAGGCGGCAGGTGCCGAACCTGTGGTTCGGGCCGCCCCTGCCGCTGGCAGCCACTGCTGCGCAATCTGGGCCGCCCCAGGTTCGAGCGAGGACCTGGTCGGGGTACACAAAGGAAGCGCGGTCGCGTGGCAGGCCCTCTCGAGACCTCGCGACTCCTTCGGGGTTGCGAAGTGCGCAACCGTCGCCACTTTGATGGGTTCCTGGGAGGTGCGGCGGAGGTGAGGGCAGCGCAGATCCATTTGAGACCTCGCGGCTCCCTGGAGGGCTGCGAATTGTGCAAGTGTCGCCACTTTCGTGAGTAAGGCTCCTCAGATATGATGTTCTCTTTTGTGCGCAGTTTTGCTGTAAGGAGTCGCATCGCGTGTAGACGGGTTTGGGTACGTTTCAGGTAATTGTTCAATCCGGTTTTTTCTTTGTCTCAAGTCGGTGCTGTCGCTTCAGCGTTGGCGTCATTTTAGGAGAATGGGTTGGGTTCGTTTCGGGCATATTGCTTTTACACTCAGTTTTTCCTGGTGTTTTCTAATGGTGCTCCCGCTGCAGCGTGGGCGTCGTTTTCGGATCGGCTCTTGGCATCCGTCGTTCTCCCCAGCGCGGGCTACCTTTATGGATCCGAGTCCTTCCTCATCTTTGTCGC